GTATTCTGCGAAACGGTTATGCAGGACCGTACGATACGGATATCGGTTTCTATTAGGAGCAAATGCCAAAACCGATATTCGTTCTGTAAGCTACGGATTTTTTTTAGAGAGTATAAGGTAGCAAATTGGCCCCTGAACTTTTTTGAGGCAAAACCTTAGCTGTCTTATATATAGTGAAAGAACACATCAAGCTGGATATTTTTTATGGTGGAACTTCATATTTAAAATATATTTATAAAGAGTTCTGGTCGGGTGAACTTCTAAATGTTCAGGTCATTTTTGGCCTTTGTGGCCATTTGCTATTTGACTAAAGGACAGAGAGAGAAGATGCTACTTTTTATTATTTGGACGTGCTCACATCCAGGTATGTACACGAAAAACAGTTTAGTATATTCAAGAAAACTTCCTCCACTTTTTAAATGCTTCAGGTTTCCTGTGTATCCCCCTTGAAAAATTCTGTCTGACATTAGACTAGAAACCTGTATGCACAAAAGAAACAGGAAAACAAAAGTGTAAACAAAGAACGATTTTTTTTGTTCTCTACTCAATTGTTTTTGTTATCCTTTTTCTCCCATGCATCTTAAAGTTTTCTGTTCTCCCTCTCTCCATATAACGATTCAGTCGATTTCTGTATAAGACATGTAAATTAACTTTCTAACTTGCTGCAACTTAAAGAAGTGATTATACCTCTATTTTTGCTACTTTTTATTTTTTTTCTGTCAGCGAACACATGTAAATGTTAGTTGCTGTCCTTCAGGAACAATAAATTGGATATTAAAAACAAACGAAAAGATAATACTTTTTATTCTAAACTAATGGTCAGAGTGTCCTTTAATACCACTGAAAATATTATCCTTTCGGCTCGAGTTGATCGTGCGTGATAGCCTTAACCGGGCTTCTGAAAAGTCTCAAAATGAATCTGAACTAGGTACACACCTACAGTGTGATCGTTCGATCTCATAAACCACTACAGCAAACATTACCATTTTTTTACGACAGAAAACCATCAACAGTAGCTACAAAATGCATATATAACAATTGTTATATCTTTGGGGAAAGACATTTGAAAACAGCAAACACTGCTGTCGTGGTGTCTTCGTATACAATGTATGTAATGGCATCTCACGTTCCCTTGGACTGTTCGAACTCAAACTATAAGCGTCATACAAACGGTGAAAGACCCGCCAAGAGGAGTACTTCGGGAGACAGAACACAATACTTTGAATGTGATAATAAAGAGTTCTGGTCGAACGAACTTTTAAGTGTTTGGGCTATTTATTGTCTAGATAGTGCTTTCTATTTGGATGCCATATTTGGCCAAAGATAAGGAGAAAACATGACATTATTCGTCCTAGACTAAAGATCATACTGTCCTTTAATACCACTGAAAATATCATGTTTTTAATTGTAGCCGTTCAGTATACAAAATGTAAACACAAGTCCCAAGATGTCCAAAACAGAACCAAGATTCGTGCGCACCTACAAAAACAATTCTTCGATCTTGTGAATAGATGAAGTAAAATAAAAAAGTATTTTTAGGGCATAAAACTTTGCGTATCAGTTACAAAATTCATGAATAAAGATCAGTAGATCTAAGAGGGAAGACGTAGCATGAAAGCATGCACTGTGGTTAAGCAATACTTTTGCCTAAACGACAGCGAGATTCTCTGTGCGATCTTTCTCTGCCGACCTGGCCAAATTCTATTAGAAACATTATGCTCCAGACAATAGAAGAAATCAGATTCGCGTCCTTCGCGATTTCTGATGAAGAATTTCGTCGCTTCGCTCAATTCTTGCCACTTCTTGGGAAATTTGACTTATAGATCTGCTAAAAATCTGACAAGAAATACATGTGCCTCTTGTAAAAGTCACATTATACTCTTGCTGAAGTACTTTTATATTACTTTTATTTTTTTGTAAAATCGTTCGATACAAAAGGTGCATTTACTTCTAACCGTGTGGAAGATGAATCAACCACAGAATTAACTTTGCTTTTAAGAGTCTTGTACCCAATAATCCAATTAAAATTTTCAAATTTTAGTAGTAGAATATTTTGAAATGCCGATTCTAAGAAATCCAAACGCTTAGCTGGCAGATTAGTTCGCTATAGTATAAATACAGGTTCACGGATTAGCAAGCGTATAAACTTCGGAGGCTGCCAGTACTCGATTGTGAACGTAGATTTCGTCGATCGAACCTTGATAGGCAACATTTGAAATATAACTACTGGAACAACTAAGCCTGTACCCAATTTGTAACCAGGTTATTAAGCCGGTATTTCCGTATGAGGAAGCACCGGTTGAGCCAAAGAGAACTCCATTTACGTACAACGAGTATCCGTTTGTCGAACTATATGTCCAGGAAATGTGTGTCCACGTACTTGCCGTTACATATGGACCAAATATTGTTGCCGAAGATTGTGCTTGTGCAATAATTTGACCCGACACGCCAGCAGCTGAATAAATACCCAGTAGATTAGTACATGTGCCGCCCGATTGAGTTGTTGATACTTGGACAAATGCGCAAGTGATCATCACCGATGGATTTATCCACAAAGAAATTGAAAATGGTCCGTTTGTATTAACGCCATAAACTATTTGATAAAAACCATATGCTTGAAAATAGGACGATGAACCGGTAAAGCGCATTGCTTGATTGACACGACCAATAACCGTTGCTGTATTGGCTGATGTTCCGTTTAATCCATTTGGGCCGTTATCATTGTTCGGATAAGGTAGATCAAATGAATAATAAGCAATCAATGATGCATCATATAGAATTTCTGTAGCTGATTTTGCTCGTGTTACTACTTGTAAATTGTCAATATAACCGTTGAAATAGGTTGTGGTCAAATAAACCTGAGC